GAGAGTTTGATGGATTACTCTGCAGGCCGAGAGGTTTCTCCCTAATCCCCCTTTGTGTCCTGGCCTGCAGCCCCCTCACTCTCTCTGACAAGCTGCTAAGCAGAAGGCTTCCAGTCTGAGGGAAGAAAAGGCAGCTCAGCAGGGCGGACTCTAAATCCCTGGCCTTCGAGCCCTGGGGGAGGCAGGAGCTAGGGAGCAAGTCTGGGGCGGGGCTGAGGTCCTCCTTCCCACTGCCTGGCCCTTACTCTTTCTTAGGTTTCCCTTGAGGTGCAGCCTAGTGGCATTCTCAGGTGTCTGTGCCCTGTGAGGTCGCGGGCCTCAGCTATCTGTGCAAATCACTGTTGCATTTTTCTGGGGCAGCCTTGGGGAAAACAGAGGCCCTCACTGCTTTGGAAATATTTGGGCCCAGAGAATCAAACACTAAATGGATTGGAAAGCACGGAAGCCATGTGTAGTCTAATGCTGTGCTCCCCTCCGTAGCAGTGAGGTAGGAATTCCCACGGCATCCCTAACAAAGGGGATCTAACAACTGCCTCACTAGGGTGCTAAGTCTAAGTGCTGGGCTCCTGGCTGGCTCCTTTTGGGGCATCCCCAAGCCTCCTTAAGGAGCTCATGAGGGTGGAGCTCATTTCGGGATTGCAATATGCTAGGTCTTATTAGGTAAGTCGGAGGGCATTGGTCCCCTGGGACTGAGGCACCAGGGTGGAGGGTGGGGCGGGAAGGGTAATAGGGATGCTGGGCTGGTGACCAACCCCTCCCAGACCTGGGAGGTCCATTTCCCTGCCCCCAACCTAGGGGGCCTTGGAGAGCTTAGCCTGGAGCAAGCGAGGTGCTGGGGTCCAGGCTGCTTTGGAGGAGTGGGGTCCCTCCTTTCATCTCCCTGCCTCTGACCCTCGGTCCTGGCCTGGGGTGGGACAGCCCTGGTGGGGTGTGTTAGGGAGGATGGCCTGGGGTGACCCCACCGCCTGTCTTCAACTGAGTCATCATCGCTCGTGTTTCCCCCTCTGCAGGGACGGGCTCCGGGCGCTGTGAGGGGTAGAGGAGCGTGCGAGGAAGCTGCGCTGTCTTTGTGAGTGTGGAGGGAGGACGTGGGGCCGCTGAGCCGCCGGCGGGGTCAGGGCGCGGACTGCGGCCATTTGATGTGCCCGGGTGGGGTGTGGGGATGCTGGCCAGCATAAAGAGCCCATAGAATTGCTGCCTGACACTGGCCCGGGGTGGGGGCTGCCCCCAGCCCGGCTCCCTCTGGCCTCTGTCTGTCAGCAGAGGGAATCTGCCCCCCCCAGCTCCACCTCAGCTGTGCGGGGTGGCAGGAGCCCCTTTGAAAGCCCTCAAAGGCCTCTTTATATGTCCCTCTGACCCTCCCTTCCCTTAGGGAGCTACCGGGGAGTGGGCTCGGGTCTCCTTTCCTCCGCCTCCTCCACTCTGTCTTTTGAATGTCGGACAAAGTTCAGGCCAAGTTTGTTCCTTTTGCTCAGTTTCCCTTCCCTGTACTCCTTGCTGGGGGTCCAATCTGAAGTGAGGGCTCTCCAGCCCAGGAGGGTCTCTCTGAGCCACTCACCACCTTTGAGCCCTCAGAAGTTGCCACCTCTGGAGTTCAACTTGGAATTTCCTTGGTGTGTGGTGTGGGGGACAGGGGTGGAAAGGGACTTCAGTCTTTCTCACCTCTTACACGCCCACCCCCTGCGTCCAGCCATTCATTCATTAGGTAAACTTTGCTGGGTCCCCTTTCTTGCTGGGATGGGTGCCAGAGGGTTGTGATGGAGCCCACAGCCTGCCCTGGGGGTGCCATGTGTTGGGGTGCATGGGGTGTGTAGGTCTCCTGGGACCTGGAGCTGGCCAGGTAGAATCCAGGTTCACTGACCTTGCCTGGGGCCCTTGGCCTTGCTGGGTTTGGCTCTGTTCTCCCAGGGTTGAGGAAAGATGGCCTGGGGCAGAGTGCCTTGCAGGTTCCCAGAGGTCTTGGGTTTCCTCCAGTTTTCTTGCTGTCCTGCCATCGGGGGCAAGAGGAGGGGAGATGTTTGGAACTTGAGAGGGACTTGTCCTCCTGGAAGGCTGCTTGTTCCTTTCCTTTCGAAGAGGTCAGCCCCTCCATTTTCCTCCTCTTCCTGCCCCCTCCTCGCCAGGTGAGCATTCTGAGGCTGGCTCTTCTGGTTGATCTTCTGTTTGCCAGACAGACAGAGTGCTCCAGGAGCAGTGGGGCAGGAGGATTTGAGTCAGAAGCATCTTTGAGACTGAAGGTTATAGAGGAGAGTTAGAACCTGTCCCCCTGTCTGTATTCCTGCTCCAGGAGGAGAGGGGAGTTCCCCAAGTAGGGGAGCCCAACCGTGGTCTGTCACTTTCAAGCTTTGGTGAGAGAAGTGTACCCTGTAGCTGCTGATGGGGACGTTAGCTGGGAGAGTGGTACCAAACCATTTCTTGTTCTCTGACCTCTCTGAGCCTGGGAACGGGCCAGTCCTGGGCTTCTCTGTTTGTGCCCTAGGGAAAAAGGCCCTGGTGGCTGGGGTTAGTGCTGAGGGAGTCCTGTGCAGTCTCTTCCATCCTGAGGACTTGGGAGTGGGATGAAGTGGGGGAGACGAGGGCACTGGGAAGGATGCAAGGATAAGAAAGGGGGGCTTTGGAGGGGAGAGCATTCTTATGAGCTTTAAGAGTAAAGTCGGGGGGTGGCAAGAGTGCCTTGGGCTCCCAGGGCAGAATAGAAGTCAAAAGAGGGAGGCCGGGCTCCACAACCTAAGAACAGAGGGGTGCTGAGCAGGGCTTGGGCCTGCTCACTCCTACCCAACTCCTTTCAATGAATTCTTCACCTGGCCTAGCCTCTAGTTACCAGGTAAAGAACCTGTAGTGGGGTGCAGAGGGGCACTCCAGAGAGCAGGAGGCAGCCGATGAGCTATCTGGGCTGCAGGAAGATGGGGGAAATTCTTCTCTTCACCCATTTTTGTCTTTTTCACTTGTGGGCTAAGAAGGGACCTGCTCATTCCTGGGAGGACTGAGGAGCTGGGTTGAGGGAGGGGAAGACAGGTGGGGTAACTAGTGGTTACTGGAGAGCTGCGATTTATTTTAAACAAGAGGGAGCAACCAGGGCTTGGAGAAATGGGAGCAAGTTGTGGGTGAGGCTGGATCTGACAGTCTGTGTTTGCTCAAGGAGGACCTGGTCCCTTGAAAACCCAGAGCAGGTGAGTGTCCAGGGCCTTCCCATACCAAGGGTGGGTGTGGGATGGGCTGGAAGTTGACCCAGAACTCCTTCCTTGGGACTGGACAGCACCACCCCTTGGTCTCCTTGCAATCTTCTGCTTTCCTTCTCGGGGGCACTGTGGAAATGCAGTCACAGGGAGGGGCTCAAGTTGAACCCACAACAGCCCAGCTAAAGCTGATATCTGGTCCCCCACCTCCCTTTTGGGACTGTGTGGGTCAGTATTTTACACATCTCTATGTGCCATCCCCATAGGAGTCCTTTGTCTTTCCCAAAGTAGGGGTCTGAGTGGGACTTTGGGAGGAGGCTGCTAGTTGTCCAGCCTTATCTCAAGTCCTTTCCTTCCTGGTCTACCACCTGCAAAGCCCCAGAAGGCAGTTATGGAATGGAAAGATCTTACCCAGGATTGATGGCCATCTGATTTCTCTGTGGCGCAGCTCAGAGAGCACCTACAGCATGCTTTGTAACATGCAAGGCTCCTTGTGGCTTAGTGTTATTTGAAAAGATAAAAGAAGTTGAAGCTTCTTTTATTATGATATGCAGAGATTGGCAGAGGAACGAGTGAGGGGTTGGGGCACTCTCGGGCAGACGGGGGAAACTGGAGCCGGGTCCTTGCACAGGAGTAGCTGTTCTCTAGCAGCATTTATGGGACTGAATTAGTGCAGAATGGGAAGGCACTCCAGCCAGGAGGAAGGAAGTTCTGTCCCCTGTCTTTGTTTTGAGCTGGATGACACATTATGGGTCTCTCACCTTTTCTCACCGAGGCCGCCCTCTGCACCTCCTCTTGATGGCTGACCTGAATTTTTCCTTCTTTCATAGTCACCTCTAAGCAGAGCAGACTGCAGTGGGTGTCATTGTCAGGAAGCATGACCTGGAGGCCACCTGTGTGCGTTGGAGGAGGGGTACAGGGTGGGCAGTCACCCAGTGGGATCTGAGCAGCAGTGGTTCTTCTTTATGCACAGGAGGCAAGACTGGCAGGAGGGGTAGGGAACTTCTCTGTTGAGAATGGAGCCCTTTGGGGACCAGAGAAAGGCTGCCTAGGAAGTGGGGGGGCGTCCTGCCAGCTCAGGGGGCAGTGGGGGGATCACTGGTGTCATCACAGGTGGTGTGGTTTTATGATACTGTGAGGCTGGGACCTGGGAATGGCCCTGCTGTTCTGTGACAGTTGGACAGCCATCTTCGTGGGGGACTCTTTCTTCCCCATGAACACTGAACTTGGGGAGAAACTCAAAAGGAGAGGTTTTCAGGCCTAGGATCCAGAGGAGCTCTCTTTACGTGGTTTCAATGACAGATTAAAACCCAACCCAACAAACCACAGCCTCTCCTCCTTCCCCTTTGTCCTCATCCTAGGGGGTGGGGGTTGTGGTGCCACATGGCCCATGGCCAGGCAGTGCAGAATAGGAAGTGTCACTGTTAACAAAGGGGAGTTGAACAGCCCAGCTTTGGGAAGAGCAGAGAGAGAAGCAAACATGCCAGGCCTGGCACAGGGTCTCCAGGAGTACCTTGATAGCCAGGCCTGGGCAACTGGAAATTCGGTTGGTTTGATTCCCACCCCCGCCCCCCAACAGAATAACCAACATCTCTTTGGCTCTGGAGTGTGCTGAGATTTAAGAATCATATTTACCTTATTAATTATGTCAGCCTTAGGCTAATATTAACATGCATTTCCTGACTGGGCAACAGGGGGTGGCACCTAGGAGGCAGGGCCACATCACCGGCCTGTGTATGAACAGGATTCAGAGAATTCAGACCAAATCCTAGAGACCTGGCTCCCAGGACATAACACTCCATGTGACTGTGATTGTCCTTTTAGGATCTGAGTGATGAGATGTGTCCTCACCGAGGCGTCCCACGGCAACAGGTGTTTAGCACAGGCTGAGAAGCTGGACCTGCACCAGAGGACTGGCAGAAATGGGCACTTGGCTGAATCCTAGGCAGTCGGTGGCAACGAGAAGGAGAGGCCTCGGGTCCTGGAGCAGGGTTGAGACAAAGCAATTCTGGAGTGCATGAACAGCCCCCAGAGCCCTACCTGCCTGGCCCACCATGGTCCAGAGGCTGTGGGTGAGCCGCCTGCTGCGGCATCGGAAGGCCCAGCTCCTGCTGGTCAACCTGCTGACCTTTGGCCTGGAGGTGTGCCTGGCCGCAGGCATCACCTACGTGCCACCCCTGCTGCTGGAAGTGGGGGTGGAGGAGAAGTTCATGACCATGGTGCTGGGTGAGTCACTACATCCTCTTTCCTTCTTGCTTCAGATATGTGCCACCTGGGGTGCAGGGTGGCAGTACCTCTGCCCAGAGAGCTGCTTAGAGGCAGAGGTGGTTGCCTGCTGCTCCTGTGCTTGATAGTAGGCGTTGCTGGGCAGAAGGGTGACCCTGAGCTGAGGGGGTATCCCAAGAGAAAGGAAAGAGTACAGGGACATACCCTAGTTAGCTCTGTATCTCTGGTAATTCTGGTTCTGTACAATACCTGGTTCATGGGAGACACTGGAGAGAATACTCCTAACCTTTGTCTAGCTGTTTCATCATTTTTTAAATCTATTATCTCATTTAATCCTTACAGCAATCTCTGAGGTCTTATCTATTTTATAGAGAAGACGACAGAGGTGTATAAGAGGTTGGTGAGCCTTAGCTAAGGTTGTACAGCTACTGATTAGTAGAGCTGGTACTCGATCAGGGTCTCCCAGCCAGGGCTCTTTCTTACCACTAGGACAGCGGGTGGGCTCCTGACTTTGCAGATGAATTCTACAAAAGCCACAGAAGGCAATTGGTCACCGTTGTGTGACAGCCCCCATACTCCCCCATCGAGGGGGTTCTGTCAGAGTTGCAGGCACTGGAGTCAGACTAACCATTGAAACCCTGCCTCCCACCCTCCCTAGCTCTGTGCCTTTCCACACGTGTCACTTATCAGTTGCTCCCTTTCTCCGTTTCCCTATTCTGAAAATGGAGGCGTTTGTTGTGAGCAGTAAACCAAAGTCCCTGTGAAGACTCGGCGCTGGGTCTAGCACAGAGATTGTCCTGAATGTGATATTATTGTTATCATTTCCATCCTTCTCTAGGAGCTTGGCTCCCTTTCTGCCTTGCTCCTTAATTGTCCTGGCCGCTGACTCCTACTACTTGCCCTTCTTGCAGGTATCGGTCCAGTGCTGGGCCTGGTCTCCGTCCCGCTCCTAGGCTCAGCCAGTGACCACTGGCGTGGGCGCTATGGCCGCCGGAGGCCCTTCATCTGGGTCCTGTCCATGGGTGTCCTGCTGAGCCTCTTTCTTATCCCGAGGGCCGGCTGGCTGGCGGGGCTGCTGTGCCCGGATACCAGGCCCCTGGAGTTGGCACTGCTGATCCTGGGTGTGGGGCTGCTGGACTTCTGTGGCCAAGTGTGCTTCACTCCACTGGAGGCCCTGCTCTCTGACCTCTTCCGGGACCCAGACCACTGTCGCCAGGCCTTCTCTGTCTACGCCTTCATGATCAGCCTTGGGGGCTGCCTGGGCTACCTCCTACCTGCCATTGACTGGGACGCCAGTGCCCTGGCCCCCTACCTGGGTACCCAGGAGGAGTGCCTCTTCGGCTTGCTCACCGTCATCTTCCTCACCTGCATGGTGGCCACACTATTTGTGGCTGAGGAGGCAGCACTGGGCCCGGCCGAGCCAGCAGAAGGGCTGTCAGTCCCCTCCGTACCACCCCGCTGCTGCCCCTGCCGTGCCCGCCTGGCTTTCTGGAACCTGGGTGCCCTGTTTCCCTGGCTGCACCAGCTCTGCTGCCGTGTGCCTCATACCCTGCGCCGACTCTTTGTAGCTGAGCTGTGCAGCTGGATGGCTCTCATGACCTTCACACTCTTTTACACGGACTTCGTGGGCGAGGGGCTGTACCAGGGTGTGCCCAGAGCTGAGCCAGGCACCGAGGCCCGGAGACACTATGACGAAGGTAAGACCTTGGCAGCCAGCAGCGGCTGCTGTGAGAGCTGCCCTCTAGAGGACGTTCCAGGGCAGGGGGACGCCCACAGCCTGTGTTGGGGGCTGTGCAGCCTGGGTGTGGGGCAGCTCTGCCTGCAGTCTCAGCAAGGCCTCAGCTGCTCTGAGAGTTTAACCAGAGTCACTGCCCCAGTCCAACAGAACGGAAGGCTGAGGGCTGGCTGTCAGCTCAGTTGGTTAAAGCGTGGTGCTTGTACACCGAGGGTCAGGGCTCCATCCCTGTACTGGCTAGCTGCCAAAAAAATAAAAATAAAAGAGGAAAGGCTGAACTTAAGTTCCAGGGGGAGTAGAGGAGTCAAGGCTGGGGTTCAGGTCACTCTGGCTCCAGCTTCAGTGTCCCCTCTGCTGACTTTCCAAATAATCTCGCTGGTGCCTCCCAGCTCAGGTGTTCTAGGACTTTGTCTTGAAGCCTATGCAGAACTGTCTTTGTGTTCCCATTCACCCTCCTGTCCCCAAAGCTGAGGCTCCAGTACACCCTGAGAACTCTTCCTCTGCCCTCAGCAAGCATCTTTGGCCACATTCTCTGAGGGTCGGTGGAAGGATCTCGACTCCCATTGCTGCAGGTAGGGTGGGGAGGGTGCTGGGGGGCAGGTCTGGTCCATGGCAGATCTTGCACAACAAGTGCCCCTAATTCTGAGCCCCTGCCCCCAGGTTGTATTGGGCCCTTCCCCACTTGGCCCTGTCTGACTGCCTGTTCCTCTGCCCTGTCCCCCAGGCATTCGGATGGGCAGCCTGGGGCTGTTCCTGCAGTGTGCCATCTCCCTGGTCTTCTCTCTGGTCATGGACCGGCTGGTGCAGAGATTCGGCACCCGGGCAGTCTACCTGGCCAGTGTGGTGGCTTTCCCTGTGGCTGCTGGTGCCACATGCCTGTCCCGCAGCGTGGCTGTGGTGACGGTCTCTGCCGCCCTCACCGGGTTCACCTTCTCGGCCCTGCAGATTCTGCCCTACACACTGGCCTCGCTCTACCACCGTGAGAAGCAGGTACTCACATTGGCTGGTAGGGGATTTGGGGCGAAACAGACTAGTGCAGAACCTGGTGTCTGGCAAGAGATGTTGGAGAAGGCTTTCTTTAATCAGAGGATGTCCATCCTAGCCCCAGGGCCAGAGACTTGGGCTACGGAAGCAGAGTATAGATAAGACTCTGGGAATGACTTCCTGGTGTTGGGACTTTAAAGTCCTTGAGTGAATGATTGCAGGAAGTGCAAAATCTTTCACTGGGAATCCCAAGAATCAGGCTGGCAGAAGCCCTCAGTCTGGGCTGGGTTGTTCTATAAAGAAGCAGGGGGCTGGATCAGGTGACCTCTGGGGCACCTAGCTTCAGCAAATGGTGAGTGGGAATGGTATGGCCTTAGCAGCAACACTTTCCTTTTTGAGGGAGAGGCAATGTGACTAACCTGTGCCCTACTTTGGTCTCCAAGATGGGGAAGGTTCCTTCCTCCTCCCTCTCTTTCTGGTTAATCTTCCTTTTCTGTCTAATTCTCTCTTTTCTTTTACTGTCTCCCTCCTTTGCCTCCATCCCCTCCCCTGCCCCCCACGTGGATATCTGAGCTTGATGCACCTGACACCGCTCGCCTGGGCACTGTGTAAGTCAGGGCGCCTTCCTCCTGCTTGGCCCCATATGAACCAGCCCATCCAGGGGCTGCCTTCCGTGGGAAGCCTCCTGACCCAGGCACTGTGGTCACCCTTGTCTCCTCTACTGGCCTCCCTGAGCTACAACCCTAGATGCAGAACTCTTCCCTGAGGGCCATGAAGTTGGGGGTGTCCAAACGGGGGAGGTGCAGGCCTACCCTCTTAGAGCTTCCAGATTGTAAGCAAGACCTGTCCCTGCCCCTGTGGGACACGAGTGGTGTAGTATATAAATATGGAGCTGGGAAGCTGGTTTACTGAGGAGGTAGCGGCAGAGATAGGAAGTGTAGAGGGGAGGGGCTAAGGTTTTGATTGGGACCCCTGGTCCCTGAGACCCTTAGTGGCCCCCTGCTAACTTTCATCAGCTTCTGCTCTTCTGCTGCCCTGTGTGGGAGTGTGCGGGCTATGTCCGGAGGCCAGGCCTGAGCACTTGCGCTTGTGCCCAGGAACGTTCTGGGACTAGGCCTCTCCTCCGCCCCATACTGAGGAGCACATCTGTTCCCAGGGACCTCCCCAGGCTCCAGCCTCACTGGTCTTTTTGGGGGGACAGACAGGGAGGAGAGGTCCTGGGAGGACCACTCGTGGAGCTGCGTGATAAGCCAGGGCCTTTCCTGGTGTCAGGTTTGAGTTCTGTCGTGGCTCCCAGTTGAAGCCAACTCGAGAACTCTTCTGTGTTAGATACTGCCTGGAATGGGGGCCAGTGTCAGATTAGATGTGGCCTTGTCCTTAAATAGGATGCTCTGGGCCGTTGAGGGCAGTATGCACAGATACAGTCGCTCTGATCCAAGGCAGACAGTGAGAAGGAAGTGAGAAGACTTCAAGTTAGCGTAGCTGGGCTTCCTCTCTTCTCTCAAGGCTGAGTCTGCTGGATCCTCCCCACCCTGAGGCTGGGGCCGGGGACCTCACAGCAGAGCAGCAACTCCAGCTGGGGCTTCTCTCTGTGCAGGGCTGCGAGGATTTCCGGATGGCAAGCAGAGCGCAGTTAGGAAAGAAGGCGTTAGGAGCGCCTGTGTGGGGGTTGGGACATCAGGCGCTCTGCCACGCCTTTGGATTTCATTCCTCTAGCCTACACATCTCTCTTCTCACCTGTCTTCAAGCTTCCTTTGTCTTTTTCTCTACCTTGGGGTTCTCTCTTCCTAACCTGCAGTACTGTTTGTCTGCTACTTACCTGTCCTAGGAGAGGCTAGAGGAAACCTAGACTTCTGGCTTCGGATTTGTCCCCCTCCCTGCCCCACTACCCTTCTCCCACTCCCGAAGAGGGTCCACAGTAGACAAACCAAGTAGGGTCTCCTCAGTTTTCTGAGCCACTGCCTGGTTTTCATTAAGGCCTGTTGCCTGGTTGCTTCCAGCCCCTGGGATGAAGGCTAGGGTCTGTTCTCATGGCTGGGGGGTCCCAGTGCCTGGGTACACACCTGTCCTTGTCCCCTTTTTTCACCCTTCCCCTTCAGGTGTTCCTGCCCAAATACCGAGGAGATGCTGGAGGTAGTGGCAGTGAGGACAGCCTGACGACCAGCTTCATGCTAGGCCCTAAGTCTGGAGCTCCCTTCCCCAATGGACATATGAGTGCCGGAGGCAGCAGTCTGCTCCCATCTCCACCCGCGCTCTGTGGGACCTCTGCCTGTGAAGTCTCCATGCGTGTGGTGGTGGGTGAGCCAACAGAGGCCAGGGTCATTCCAGGTCGGGGCATCTGCCTGGACCTTGCCATCCTGGACAGTGCCTTCCTGTTGTCCCAGGTGGCCCCGTCCCTGTTTATGGGCTCCATCGTCCAGCTCAGCCAGTCTGTCACTGCCTATATGGTATCAGCTGCAGGCCTGGGTCTGGTCGCCATTTACTTTGCTACACGGGTAGTATTTGACAAGAGCGACTTGGCCAAATACTCGGTGTAGAATACTTCTGACTCACTGAGGGGAGGGCCTGCCTCATTGGGTCCCAGCTCCCCATTCCAGTCTCCAGTTAGCCCTATAGGGCTTCTGGGCTGGCCTTCCAGTTTCTGTTGCTGCCAAAGTGGTGTGGCTCTCTGCTGCCACTCGGTGGTGGTGAGGTGCATAGCTGCACAGGTCGGGGACTGGGGCTCCCTTCTACCTAGTCTCTAGGGCTGACGACTGGTGGCTTTCAAGTGGGTTTCAGTCTGGACTTCTACAGGGAGGCCAAAAGGGCAGGACATTTGATTAGCTCCATGCACTGGAATGCAGGACCCTGCAGGTGGAATACCCAGGCTCAGGGTTAGCAGCTAGTGTCTTAATTGACACATATCCCTTCTCTGAGCTTTTGGGAGCAGAATAAATTCAGCCATCTATCTCTATCCTGCAGGATCCCCCCAACGTTGCTCTTGTGTGAGAGTTTCTAGTGTGAAACTCTCCTCCACAGAATTTGAACGTATGAACGTTATTTTGGGGGGACAAGTCCTGAGGGGCAAGGTGAAGCTCCCTTGGTCCACGCACTGCCTTTCTGCTGATCCCTTCAGCTCCACCTTTTATGAGGACATGGCTCGTTGGTCCCTGTGTTGCCGTCATGGGAACACAGGACTTTAAATATTTAACTTATTTATTTAACAAAGTAGAAGGGAATCCTTTGCCAGCTTTTCTGTGTCAGTGTCTAGGAATTGGGTAAGGTGGGGTCCCCAGCAACCAGGTCCCCTGAGATAGCTGGTCATTGGGCTGAGTACTGCCAGAATCCCTTTCTCCTGGGGTGATTGGTCTGGCCCCTGAAGCTGCCTAACCCAAGACCTTGGATGCTGTATTCACCCCAATGAGTATTTCAAATGCTGTTACCCAAGGCTGGGGGGTTGAGGGAAGGTGGGGGTGGGGCTTCAGGTCTCAGCACCTTCCCTCACCTCCCTATTCTCCTGGCCCAGCCTGGTTCCCCTCATTCCCTTTTGCCCACCTCTAGGCCTGGGCTAATGAAGGCACTGCCCTCCCATCCCTCCCCCCAACTTTCCCCACTGGCTCCACAACCTCTCTTTGGGGCTATTGCAGGACCAGAAGCACAAAGTGTGATTCCTCAAGCTTTTGTCCATCTCAGCCCCTAGGGTGTATCTGTGTTTGGGGAATCTCACACAGAAACTCAGGAGCACCCCCTGCCTGAGCTCAGGAGGTCTTATCTCTTGGGGGGTTTAAGTGCCATTTGCAATAATGTTATGTCTTATTTATTTAGTGGAGTAAATATTTTATACTGTATGTGAGCAATCAAAGTATAATGTTTACGGTAATGAAATTAAAGGCTTCTTATATGTTTAATTGGCATGTGTTTCTCTTTTCTGGGGGAAGGACCAAATCTGTCTAAAATCATCCTCAACTACCTGTTCATGGAAACCTTAGCTTTTGGCACTTTCAGTTCCCAGCCTCCACCAGCAGATGGAGCCATAGACCAGTACTCTTTATCGATTTGCAATTGGTCAAGGCTGTGCCACACCCTGGATTGGGTAGTTCTTTGGGGAGGGGGGAATGTCAGGAAGAGTCCGAAGTGCAGGAGAGTGGGGGCATTTTCCTTCTCAAAGGACTCACAGTGTGGCCAAAGAGAGATGGAACAAGCACTCATCAACCACAGCAAGAGCATAAGGAATGCACCTGGCATGTGTGTGGCGAGGATTTCACTACCACTGTGCCTTGGGTCACACCCTTTCCCATCTCCTTCACATTTTATGACAGGCCCAGGTTGAGTTCAGAGTCTTTCCTGCCTTGCCATCTCCTAGACCCCTCCAACCTTGACTATCCCTCCTGTCCCTAAATCCCAGAGGGTTCAGTACAGTTAAAACCTATGCACGGGCTCCTTTTATTTTTCCAAATGTTCTATATTTAACATTTTGTTATGGAAATTTTCAAACGTATACAAGTAGTGAGGGTGGTATAATGAACCCAGCTTCAACAGTTACTAACATTCTGCCATTTTTGTTTCATCTATTTCCCCCTCCGCCTTCATTATCTCTCCTCTGGAGTATTTTTAAAGCATGTGCTAGACAATTTCACTTCACCTGTAAATTCTTCAGTATGTATATCTAAGAAACAGAACTCTTGAACAACTTGATCACGATACCATGATATTCAGCAAAGCATACAAGAATTCGTTACGAATTACCCATTCATGTACAATTTTCCCCAATTGCCTAAAAATGTCTTTTTACAGTTGGCTGGTTCAAATCAGGATCCAGTGGAGATCAATTGCATTTAGTTGCAGTGCCTCTTAGATTTCTCTTAATCTCTAACAGTTTCTTTTTTTTATGCTATTCATTTATGAACAGTCATTTTTCCTGCAGAATTGCCCACATTATGTATTTGGCTGATTGTATCTCAGTGTTGTTTAAAGTGTTCCTCCTTATCTTTTTTTTTTTTTCCTGTAAGATGCTAATAAGATCTGGAGGCTTGATTAGATTCAGATTTTATTCTGTATTTTTTGGCAAAACTATTTCATAGGTGGAGCTGTGTCCTTCCTATGGCATCATCTTATGAAGCACATAATGTCTCACTGTCCCACTTTTTTTTTTTCCTTAAAAGATGACCAATGAGGGGATCTTAACCCTTGACTTGGTGTTGTCAGCACCACGCTCTCCCAAGTGAGCCATGGGTCAGCCTTCACTGTCCCACTTCTAATGATGTTAATATCAGTGGGTCCAGGTGGTGTCAGCCACATCCATCTATTATAAAGTTTCCCATCAACCTTTCACCTAAGCCACTGAAGATCATTGCCTAGCTCCTGTTTGGTTAGATATTGCAAAATTATCATTTTCTAGTTCAATCACTCCTTTGGTATTTCTTAGGTATGATTCTTCCATAAAGAAAAAATTTTCCTCATTAATTATGTGGTTATGCAGAAAAATGGTGTGTGGGGGGAAAACATAGTAAATGCTTGATTCCTTCCCATCACTTACCAATTTTTGGAATAATGAGATGGTGCTCCAGCAATCACCAAAAGTGATGAATGGGTTAATTTTCTTTCTTTCTTTTTTTTTTTAAATATCATGAACTTGTAGCTTTTATACATATGTGCTTCAGTCTGTTGCAGTCGGTATTCTTGTTGAGGCTCAAGTTGTCCCATCTTTGGCCAACAGGACCTCTTTCAAGGTGTTTCCTGTGTTCTTTTGACATGACTCCAATGGCCTCTGATATTTCTTTATTTTTAGGCATGATAAGGTAGCTAAAGTTCATCTTGTACATTTCCTGCCCCAGACGTGGACTCAGCAGTTTCTCCAAGGATCTCTGGTGGATGTCAATGACCATAATCTGAGTACCAGGTGCTACTGGGTTGGTCATTGTTTTAAGGTCTTTTCAGTGGACTTAACTAGGAAATGCTTATTTTTTAAAAACCAAAAAAAAGTAAGTTTATACTGACATTTCAAGTCAAATATTGCAAGGTTTGTATTTATTTTATATTTGAATTATTTTGAAGTTTTTGGTTTTTAGTCATATTAACATAATTACTTATGTGCATTATCTTTCAATCTATGTAACAATGTCAAAAGTGGCAATAGTAATATTATAGCTAATAATAACACTACTAATTGCAATTTAAGATTTCTTTGTGGTGATTTTTGTCCTTAGGATATACCCAATTAGGGGTGTATAATTAAAATTCTGTTTTCAACTTTTTATCATGGAAAATGTTAAATACACACAAAAGCAGAGAGAGATGACAGCGTAGTGAATGCTAACGTACCATCACCCATCTTCAACAATTACCAACCCATGGTTGACATTGTTTCATTAACACCTCCATATACTTCTACTCCATAACTTTGAAGCAAATCTCAGACGTCCTATTTCATGAGGAAATATTTCAGAATGTATCTCTAAGAGACAAGGACTTTTAAAAAAAAACACGTAGCCACATGACCATTATCACACCTAAAAATAATAATTCTTTAATATAAGGAAATACCCAGTCACTGTTTATATTTCTCTGTCTTGTAAATTTTTTTTGTATAGTTCTTTTCTTTTTCCCAAAGTAGGATCTAAATAAATTCTATACATTGCAATGGGTTGATATGTGTCTTAAATCTCTTGTAATCCATAGTTACCTCCGCAGCTTTTATTTTTTTCCTCGCAACTTATTTGTTAATAGAAATTGGGTGGTTTGTCCTGTAGACCACCTGCATTCCCATGGTGATATATTACATGTTTTTATTGCCCGTGTATTTTCTATAGATTGGTAATTAAAGTAAGAGATCAGATCAGATTTGGTTTGTTTATTTTTGCAAGAATACTTAATAGATTTGTTTACTGTCAAACAGGGGGGCCCGTATTGTCTGGTTGTCTTTTGATGTTAGCATCATGGATATCTTGGATCCATTATTTCATAGGGGTGGTAAAATGATATTCTATCATTTCTTCACTAAGTGCTTAACTCCTTCCTTGTATTTACCAGTTTTCAGAATAATGAATTGATTCCCTAGCATCTTCTAACAATGACAGAGATTTTTTTTTTTCCTTTTTGTCTTTTTTCGTGACCGGCAACGGATCGCAACCCTCAGTGTTGTGCCCGTACCGGACCGGGACCGGCCACGGGATTGCAACCCTCGGTGTTGCTCCCGCCCCTCGCTCAGCCAGTGAGCGGCCGGTCTGTACGTGGGATCCGAACCCTCGGCAGGAGCGCCACCGCGCTTCCCAAGCGGCGCACTACAGCAGTGCGCCACTGGGCCGGCCCAGAGATTTTTTTTTTCCCTTAACGTCAAGGTGTATTCATGGATTTAAACATATTCGTTATGTTTCAATCCTTTGCAGTTGTTATCCTTCCTCATGTTCAAATTGTCCCCATCTTTGGCCAGTGGGAGCCTCTTTCTTGATTTCCGAGTCCTTCTGGCACAATCCTAAATGGTCTCTGAAACCGTCTTTGCTTTCCGACATAACGGGACATCTGTGCTTATCTTGTATTTTTCCTGCTACAGACCTGGGATGAGCTATTTCTTCTAAGGGCCTTTGATTGCTTTTATGGAAATGGTATTTAGAGACGATAAATATCATGGGCATCAGGAGTGCTTGTTGTCACTGGGTTGGTCATTGGTTTTAGGCCCTTTCTATAGACAAAGCTAGGAAATACTTTTTTAAACATAAATGCATTGTGAGTTTATATTGGTATTTCTAATTCAAGTTCAGGACTGTAGATCTTGTATATACATGTATCTGTCTTCTCTCATTTCTCCCACATTGAAACAGAGTTAAAGACCTGGCCCAGAGGTGTGCGTTTGTGTGTGTGGAGGGTGATGTGAGGAGTAGAAAGGACCACCAGTCGGCCATCAGTGTCAGCCTGTCTGGGCCACCAAAACATAGAACCTGGCCCACATGGCATGTTCAGGCTTGAGACTCAACAGGGTGCACAAAAGACTGGGAATCCTTAGGGACAGGAAGCTCAGGGGCACAAAGGGGCGTTTCTAGCACAAGTTTGAAATATTTGGGACTAGCTAAAGCAGCTCACAGGCAAGTAGGGCCCTGTATTGATAGTTCGTTGGGTTTTAAACCACATTCCTTGCAGAAACACCAACTTGCTAAGAAAAATACAGAAGGGGAGGAGAGAATCAGGAAGAAGGCAGACTCTGGAAAGGAGGTAGGAAACTGCAAGCAGCCTTGAAGACATCACAACACTTAGTGAGTCCTCTACTAAGACCTGGCCCTTGCCCGTAAGGACCATTTAATTTAGGTAGAAAAGAAAAAGCACGTGTGAATCAAATGTACACAGGCGTGTCAGGCAGGATGTAAGTAGGAAATGTGGAACATGAACCATGGACACTAATAGAGTTTAGAGGAGGGAAAAATGTGTTTTCTTGTGGTGGACAGAGGAGGAGGGATCAGGCTGTCACAGCCCTCTCTGCCCTTATCTTGCTGGGTCCTACCCATCACCAGAGTGAGGACTGAGTCCTGGGCCCTGGCTGTGGCTTAAGGCCAGGAATTAGAGGGGGTGGGGTGAGGTGGGCATTGCCCCATCCTTCATGGGTTTTCCTTCCTTGCCTGGGGTGCTCCTCCCTGCAGAACCAGTTACAGTGAGATGGGGGAGCAGGAAGCGTAGGGGTGGGGAACACCCCCCGCCCGGGCTAGCTTGGATATCGGGTTACTTCTTGTGCTGCTGGAGAAAAAGCCCTTCGTTTCTGGGGTCACATTTGGTTACAGCAGCCTGGCAGTTTTGTCACCTTTAGCTGGGACTTCCTGACATCCAACCCTGCTACTAGATCTTCCTACACATTAGGAGGCAGCTCTGGTATGCCCTTTTGACAGGATCGGTTGACCCTGGTCTGCCCCTTACTAGCCATTGA